GGCCAGGGGTCTCTACACAATAGCACAGCATCCCCCGTTGCTCTGCTGCAGGTGTACGCCTCTATGGCCCAACCTACTGCTCTCCTCCTGCCCTGCCAGGATCCTTGAAGGTCCAGGGCATTCAAAGGATGGAACTTTCAGGAAGGCTTTGGCTGGATCTGGCCTTGGCCTCTGACAGACAGGGAACTGTGCTGGGACAGGACAGATAGGCAAAAAATGCCTTCTGGTGAGTGAAATTAGAGGGAATAGAGATTATTCTATTGGGGGTGATGCAGATGTAGGAAACTATCATGAAAAGCACAGTGTAAGGACGATGATGACAACAGGAACCATAAAGCCCAGAATAAAGCCTGACGGGATCCCCACAGGCCAGCCCCAGAAGAGGCCCCTCATCCCAGTAGAAACTGACAGTGATATTCCTGGTACCCAGCCTGTAGCCAGGCAACAAGGACCATGTCGAGACCCACAGGTACTGATCGCTCCCTGCTGTGACAAAGGTGAGGCCAGGGTCAGGAGAGACATGGAGCAGATAATGACAAACAGGAGCATGTGACAGCTGGGATGCTCTGTTGAGCCCAGAGAGTGCATTGAATCAGAAAAGTCCTGTTCTCCTTTGCCATGGCCCTGTGCTTTCAGAAGGAGGTGATGTCATAGGGAGGTTGTCCAGCTCAATAAGAGCAGCAGCAGACTTCACACAGGATGCCATTTCCTGGTTTACGTGGTGCTCTCATGGCCTCTGCTGATCATTGCTGGAAGCAATCTCTCTCCATCTCCTCTCTCTCTCTTTTCCTCCACAGACACAGTTATAGAAAGATTTGTCCATCCTCCTCAAGACCTTCAATCAGCAATTTTTCATGACCCTTCCTGAAGTGAGCTACAAATTACACTCTCTGAAGAACAGATTTTTTCTTATTCCATACTTTTTCTCTGTGTCTCTGTCTCCCATACCTTCTGATTACACTCACTCCAAGCCAACGGCGGTGCAGGGCAAACATATTAACAAAAGAATTGTCCTTTCTGGATGTAGCCAAGAAAACCTCTTACCTCTCGGTGGCATGCCCTGCTACGAACAGTGTCTGCCATACTCATCCTATGGTACAACCTCAGCAGCCAACAGCTGCAAGTAACCCTGTGTGAGACATGGTGAAGATCGTACTGTCATCATTAAACCCCTTCCCATGACAGTGGCTCTGCTTGGTTTAATCTTCAGCTCTTAAACACAGACCACTTCAGTGGGATCCTCCACCTCTGCTGCAATTGACATCATCCTCATGGAGTCTCCATCATCTCTGGGTGCTTTGATCTCTACTGAATTTCCAGACACTACTATGGCAGAAAGTGCCCCCCGTGCTCAATGCTGTGTTCCTCATCTTCTGCTCTTTCCTCTCTTGCCCTTGTATTCTCTTCTTTTGAGTCTATACTTCCCTTTAGACATCCTGGTGATACGGGACTGACAGATGGATGTCCTTTGGGATCTTCACCACAAGAATGTCGAGCATAGATTTTTTGCAGCTCTGGTGCTGCCTGCACAACAGCTCCCGGTGGAAGAAAACTCATTTCCCTCTTCAGAGTCACAAATGTTACCTGCCTCCCAGCCTCAGCATCCACATGATCCTTTTCATGGTGGTCTCAAGTTGCTAGCAATGAAGGGCAGCCTAGGACTGCACGTGATAATGTGAGGAAATATGGGAGACTTTAATTATGTGGAAAGCATTCATTTGGAAAAATTACTATCAGAAAACCATGCATTATCTTCTGTACTCTTTCCATATCAGATTTCCACATGGAGCTTAGGGAAGGAAGTAGTGTAACAACACCATTGCCTTACCCAGAAAGGACCACTCTGGGAAGGACTACCTTGCTCAGAATGTGGGCAAATGACAGAGAACAAAGAAGCAATCTGCATGGGACTGCAAAGCTTAGGTGAGTTTCAGACCACCTGCTTAAAGCCCTCAGTGCACAGCAGAGCACACAAATCACAATGCAGCATCCGGTCTCTGCACAGCCTATGCAAAAATTGAGTTGTCCAGGATGTACAAAGAGGCTACGGTCTCCTTGGTCACTTTTTATACCTCTCAAGCCACAGCCATCGGTCCCTTCCGGAAGAGGACGCTGGGCTGCAGATCTCTGTGTGCTCAGGGAAGCAGCGCTGCCAGGAGAGCTGAGGGCCCCTTCCCCAGAGCTCCGCCTCCAGCACACACACCTCCTCCCTCCCTGGGGTTGTTGCACGGCCAAGGAAGCTCCCTGCACCAGGGTGTCCTGCACAGCACAGAGGTACAAGGCGCTGTCAGACAGCTTGACTTCTGCCAGCCGCAGCAGGCTGTATTTCCCGGTGGTGTTCAGCCACGTGGTGAAACGGCCGTTGTGCTTGGAGCCTGCTGCTGCCTGATATGTGACCAGCTGGGGAGCTTGGCCTTTCTTCTGCTGGTACCAAAACAAGCCAGAAGAACCAGCTGCCTGGTATGTGCAGGTGGTCTGGAAGGTGTTTCTCTCCTGCACTGTGACCTGTCCTTCTTGCTGGCTGACAATGGTCTGCCCCATGGCACCTGGAAGAAGAAAGCAAAGGTGAGCAGCTCTGCAGGGAAGGTTCCAGGCTGCTGACACGGAATGGATACAAAACAGCAGGAGAGAAGGCTCCCTGTCCTTTGTCCAGCAGGAAGCTGTTGAGGTCTGGGCATATGAAGGTGGTTTTGGAAGGACCTCTGTGCTTGTGGGCAGAGGAGATCCTATGCTGCACCCATGCTGAGAGGAACATGGAACAGCTGTCATGGCTGTGCAGGTTGAGGGACCCATGGAGCTTTTGGGAAAAGATGCATTGTGTTTCTTCAGTCCTGTCAACATAAAGGGCTCCTAAGTCCCTCGGTATAAACAAAGCTGAGTTGAATGGTGACAAGTGTGATCTCTGGCTGTGCTGACGACCAGGAGAACACAGAAGACCACAGCCCATATGCATCAATCAGCATCCCCTTAATGCTGTGTTTATGAGATGTCACTCATGTCACTGCTGTGACTTTGACAGAATCTGCTTCTTTCTCTTGGAAAGGCTGAAATGTGGGACTGCAGGGATGGCTACGATCTCTGGAGGTGGCAGCTGTTGGGCCAGAAGAGAAAGGCAGTGAGAGAGAGAGAGAAGGGAAAAGAAAAGCAGGAGAGGATTCTGAATTCTCCTCCATCTTCCCTTGTCATTTCCAACAGCAGCAGTATCTTGAGAGAAGTGGTGCAAAGCCACAACAGTCAGTCAGTATTTGCCCAAGGTTTATTGTTACCCAGGAGCTGTTTGCCACAAAGCCCAGTGAGGCTGGTGAGCGCTTTGTGGGGAGAAGATGGGTGCCTTGACCAAAAGCCAGCACTTACCCAGCAGTTGTCCCAGGAAGGCAGTGAGGACGAGAGAGCTGCGGTGCATGCTGAGACCGAGCCTCCTGTTTGTGAGTGAGCAAGAGGCAGAAAAGCACCTCCCAGCCCCAAGACGACAGAGCTGCCGGAAATGACTCTGCTGGCTGCACAGGCAGGGCACTCACTGCCATAGCAACACCCACAGGTAACAACACCAGTTCTCTTATAAGCCCGAAGCTCAGAGCCAAGCCCTGTTCCTCCTCTCAGGCTAATCAGGACTGCAGTTCCCCAGTGGAAGCACACACCTTCACCCACTGGCTCACAAGCACTCCCACAATCACAGCCCATCAGTGTGAGCATGGGCCCTCAGCTCATCCAATACCCCTGCCTGGAGCCTGGCATCCCTTACCCTGCATGTGGTCTCCTCCTTTGCTCAGGATTGGCCAGACTGCTGTTTGCTGGACAACAGATGCGTGCAGTCACCCACTCCTCTCACACACATCCCCACACTCGTGCTGATCCCTCAGACATTGCCATGGGATCTCAGCCTGCCAATCCTCCTCTCCCAGGCTTTGTGTTTCCTTACCCACCTCTCTCCCAGACTTGAATACTCTCCTCCCAGTCACTGGTTTAATCCTGATGTGCTGTGGATGTTGTTTTGGTTGCTGGCACCCAGATCTCTCCTGCACAGCAGTCTCAGCATCTACTGGCCTCAACCTTGAGGTGCTCCCACATGAGAAAGAGAGCACAGTTTCAGTGTTACACAAATAAGTCAGCACTTAATAATATGACAGGATTTGCTGTGTTGGTTAGGCACAGGGCTCTTCCCAGCAGGCGTACAGCATGGAATTTTTCGTCCTCCCTCCTCTGCAGTGCATCCCCTTCCTTCTCTCACTTCCAATTTTTCCACACTTTTGACCCTTTCCATAAGCATTCCCTTAAAATTTGGCACAGATACCACAGGCCCTTCCTGAGCATTGCTCATCTTTCTTTTCATCTTGTCACTTGTCACTTACAAAGCTCAAGCTCACTTCAAATTGGACAGCTGTGTTTCCCTAATGGCCCATCAGTTAGGAGCAGAAGACTTCTGATCTCCCTCCTTGCCTTCCTTTTTGCTTACAGACTGGGACATTCCTTGCTTTGTTTATCACTCTCCCTTTTATTTATAATTGCATTTCAACTGAGAAGGGACTTGAAAGCCCGTTAAAGCCCTCACAGCCAACACACCTCACAGAGGCCTCTGCTGAATCTACAGCCACCTCCAGAGGCACTCAGTCCCCTCACACAGTTTCACAGTCTGAAAACAGAGCTCATGTGGGACCACTTAGATGTGTCTGTGACCTCGACATGCCGTGTTCATGAGGGTGTGCAGCTGGAACGCCTTTCTCCGGAGGATGCCGAGCGGTGCGAGGGACGCGTTCCATGTCAGCACTGCCAGCTCGGCGGCGCCGGGAGGGAGGAGCGGCAGCGCCCCCTGCGGGCCCGGACGGCACTGTGCCCCCGCCCCGCCCCAAGCGGTTCGTGCCCGGCCGCAGCCCCGGCTTCGCTTCCCGTGCGCCCACGGCGCAGTAATACAGCGCCGCGTCCCCGAGCCGGGGCCGGGCGAGACGCAGAACGCTGGAGCGGCGGTCTGCCGACACCCACAGCTGCCCCTCCGGGTCTGGCACCTCCTTGGAGCCTTTGACAGCGCTGACGAGGAATGAGGGAGCTCGGCCCGGGAGCTGACGGTACCAGTAGACGTAGCTGGCTTGTATGTTGGGGTGTGAGCAGGTGATGTTGATGCTGATGCCCTCGTTGGTCTCTGCCGCCGGCTCCTGCTGCACCTGGGCTCTGCTCACCGCCACTGCCGAGAATAAAAGAAGCAGTAAACTGAGAAAATCCATTTTCTCCACCTGAAATTTCATGGAGGAAGAGAGATGTGCACGGGTTTGGAAAGAAGCCGAATGTCCAGAGGCGTTCGCGACCCCGGCCCCCCACAGCCCCGCAGTCCGGCCCCGCCGGCGGCAGCCCCGCGCACCCAGGAGCACCGCGGCCAGCCCCGCCAGGCCCGCGGCCCGGCACTGCCGCATCCCGCCGCTCCGCATCCCGACCGCCTCCTCCCCGCCGCCGCCGCCGCCAGCTCCGCCACGGGGCTGCGCCCTGCGCCGGCGGCACTCGGGCTTGCTAAGGGGTTCGAGCGCTGGGCGCCTGTGCGCGGCTCGCGGGGTTTGGGCTCTGCGCTTTAGCTGTAGAGGTGTGGAACGGCTGCGAAAACTCCTTCAGTACAGGAGAAAGCAGTTTCTCTCCTGTAGCGTCTCCAGCGACATGGGCAGGAGGAAACGTAGGGAGGCGGGACTTGACGTGGAGCGCCACGCTTCTGAGCCCTTTCCATGCGCTGTACCCGGCGCTGCCGCAGATCCGAAATCCGGCATCGGGAAGGCTAGTGTGCTGCTGCCCGGGAGCGCGGCACCCCGAGAGCTCTCCGAGCCCCGGGTCCCGCAGCTGCTGCTGCCCGTGGTGCTGCTGTCGCCGCTCGAGGAGCCCGAGAAAGGCCGGCAGCGGCGCCGGGACGGGCGGCTGCGAAATTGGCGTTTCAGGCTTTGAATGTGTGGGAAAAGCCGAGAGGGAGCCTGGAGCCAGTCTTCAAGGTGATCCAAAGCCATGCCCGCATCTCTGACGCATCCTCACTGTAAGACCTGTTTTGGGGAGGATTCAGCCAATCCATCCCCACCCCCATCAGCTCTCACACGGTCTGTGTGCAGTGAATCTGTGTGCAGTGAATCGACCCCAGCTGTACATGCTAACATCACTCTCGCCCTCGGCATTATGCCTGGGTGGTTATGGGCATAAAACCTGACTCTGCCACACTGGGTTGGTGTTCAAGGACGACCCCTGTTCCATTAGACAGTCATGGACTCCTCAACTTGTAACAGCACACAGCACACGGCAAGGACATCTTCAGTCTGACTCCACCATTTGACTCCAAAACCACTCTTGCTGTTCCCCCCAGTAACTGGTAATTTCTCCATCCAGTGTGCACAGGACAGAGTGAGATGGTGCAAGGTTAAGAGAAGATTCATGAGGGGGACAGGACAGTCCATGGGGATCAATCACATGGCTCAACCAGATCTGAGGGGCCCTGCTGCTTGCCACTCTCCTATGTTCACCCCTTTCCCTTTATATCCTAACATGAGATAGTATAAGTCTGTCTCACACCAATCCCCATCCATGTCCTGATTCACAGCTGCATCTCTTGCAAAAACCAGGCTTGTCCTTCTGAAACCAGCCTGGTGGCTTCTTGATACCTCATCAGCTGGTGTGAATGGTGAGATTTATTTCTTTCCATCATTTCCATGCACTCCTTTGGTGTCTGCCTCTATATGCTTCTGATTTTCTCTCATCCTGTTCCATAAGATCCTGACATTAACTGTCCTCAATTTTTTCTCTGCCTCTGTAGCCATGTACAGGATGCACTGAGGTTGCTCAGGTATGCTTTACCCTGTGCATAACCAGAATGTCTGCTGCTATTCACTGTGTTGTACTCCATGTATTTAACAGTGGCTTCTGCAGACATTTCCTCTGACACACAGTAGGAAGGAATGAAGGGAATAGAGTTGATATGTTGTTCCCTGGATCCTCGTTCTTCTGCTTATGAAGATGGCTGTGATTGCTGTGAATGGAAAACAGCTGACGCGTTGTTTCCTGCATCCTTGGCTAGACAAGCTTGCTCTGTTGAGCCTTGCATTTAGCAAATGAGAAGCCCTCCCCTTATCCCTGAGGAACTGCAGTAATGGAATCAGCTGGAGTGCACCATGCCCAGCTGAGCTCCGTGTGCCGGAGGGTATAATGTTTTAAATAGAGTTCCATTGTATGACAGGAAGGTGGAGCTGTCTATGGAAAGGTTCTGCACGGTGTGACTTGGCTAAATCCCCTGGTTCTGTTTGATGCTGAAGTAAGATGAGGTTCCCACCACTAGAAGGGAGTTGCTATATATTTGCTGTATGTAAACCTCATCCCATTTTTTTCTTACAAAATCCAACTTAATTTCACACTTTATTGATGTTCCTTTCTTTGGGGATCTGGAAAGTATCCTGAACAACTTCTGCTCCCATACTCTCATCCCCAGAGCAAAATAGGAGGAGGCAAAGGATTTCAGCAGAATTTTCCAGAGAGCAGTGTGAGCTGGGATAAGGTCACACCCAGGAGCTGAGCCACTTCTTGCCAGAAGGGCCCCAAGGAGTCCCTCAGAAGTGACTCAGCATGACATGGTTTGCCTTTGCTGGACTCTTCCAGGGCAGGAGGTGAATCTTTTGTCCAAATGGATTTGTATTGCCCAGAAGTGCTTGAGTCTCTGTTCTAGCCACTCATAGGATGTCTTCAGCAAGGACTCAAGATAGCATGAAGCTGGAAATGAAACTGAACAGCACAGGAAATAAATGTGCTGTCTGTATCAGGAATGTTTTGCATTCGATTGGATTTCCTCAGAAAATATTATAGTTGTCTTTTCCCCTCAGAGATCTCTATTAGTGCCCTTCAAAACCAGCCTCAAGTGACCTGCTTGCCTCTCTACAATTCTTGGCCTATACATGAAGGTCCTGTGCCAACGTTGCTGTAGGAATGATTCTTGTCTGTTCCTGCTGCTCCCCACACTCAATGTCTACTCTGGGAGTGATTTTATTTCATTCTTCAGACTCATTAAATATTTGCAGCACCCTTTGTTGTGTCCTTTCCTGCTTCTGAAATGCATGGAATTGGGGAACCACAGCATAGCCTGAGGTAGAACAGACAAACAGACAGAAGTCTGTGCCTCCATCACCTTTCTCCACACAAGCTTAAAAGAATTCTTAACCACAGTTGTCTATTCTTTTATTCTTAACCACAGTCTCAATTCCAACACACTGTTATTTCAAGAAATCTCCTAAAAAACATGGGCTATGATGTGATGAAAGCACAAGTGGAGAATGCTTTCTGGTGAGTGAAAGTAGAGGGGGCAGGGAGAACTCTGAAGATGATGCCAATGTTAGAAGCTATAATGAAAAACAGAGCATTTTGGAAAATGAGGATCAGCGCAATCGAGTTCCTGTCCCAACGCCCAGGCTCTGAACAGACCCAGCAGCACAGGAGAAATGGACAACGATATTCCTAGCATTATGCAATATACTGTATACATAAATTGAAGAGCAAAACTGAGAAGACCAGACATTCAGAGATTCACAGATGACTGGGTGGCCAGCAGGGAAAAGGAGGTGATAGGTGATCGTCCCCCTCTACTCATCTCTTGTGAGGCCTCACCTGCAGTTCTGTGTCCAGGCCTCGAGGCTCCAGTACAGGAAGGACGTGGAGCTCCTAGAGTGGGTCCAGAGGAGGGTCACTAAGATGACCAGGGGGCTGGAGCACCTCTGCTATGAGGAAAGCTTGAGGGAATAGGGCTTGTTTAGCTTGGAGAAGAGAAGGCTCCAGGGAGACCTCATTATGGCCTTCCAGTACTTGTAGGGAGCATATAAACAGGAGGGGGATGCTTGTTTATGAGAGTGGTACGACAAAGGGGAGAGAGGGGAGCTTTAGGTTAGATACTAGGAGGAAGTTTTTCACACAGAGGGTGATGATGCACTGGAACAGGTTGCCAAGGAGGCTGTGGATGCCCCATCCCTGCAGGCATTCAAGGCCAGGCTGGATGTGGCTCTGGGCAGCCTGGGCTGCTGGTTGGCGACCTGCACACAGCAGGGGGGTTGAACTTTGATGATTATTGTGGTCCTTTTCAACCCAGGTCATTCTATGATTCTATGAATCTATGATTCTACGACACTGTCTTTCACCTAGAAACAGAAATACTTCTCCTCATGACACAGCAATTCTCCAGTTTGCAGAACAGTGATATACCAGATCTCCATGAAGATGAACTTACTAAGGAAGATATAGAATGTTATACTCAGGTGCCTTTCAATTCATACACTGACAAAGGAGAGGCCATTCCCGTCAAGATTAGGAGAGGCATGGGAAAGGTAATGACAAACAGGACCACATGCCACCTGGGATGGTCAATGTAAGCTCAGAAGAATCATTTTCATCACTGACTCTGCCATGCCTCTACATTTTCTGGGTCATTGCAGTTTTGTCAAAGCCATTGCCTCAGACGCAGTGTCATCACATCCCTCCCACTAGTCTCACTATGTATCTATTTTAACCGTTCTCTCCCTGTTGCTGCATTTTCTGACAAACAGCCCACAGAAAATAAATAATACAGCAATGCACTCACAAAAGCAGAGCCTCACATGGAAACACAACTCACACATCTCACACACACACAGTATCTCACACGCAACTCGGGTACATGTGTGCACTCGTTGCCCGTGCTCATGCACAGCTGGAGAGGCAGGAGCAGAGGCCATATGGAGCTGACTGAGGAGACACTGGGGACCTTTCTGGAAGGGCAAGGCTGCAGTGCTCCGAGCAGGACAAGGCTCCAGATGAGCTGACATCACAGTTTGCAGATGTTCAGGGATGGCCCAGTGAGAGGAGCCCAAGGAGGTCATGCGATTTCACCACAGTACAGTGGGATGAGGAAGAGAATTGAAACCAGACATCCAGGCCACCTCCTTGGAATATGAACACATGAGACCACTGGAATGGGTTGGGACGGAGAAAAAGAGGAAGACATGGCAGACCTGCATGCAGGGAAGCCTCAGGCCAGCATCACTTGCCTGAGAAGGATCCATCTCAGCACTTGAGCTGAGTCCTCTGCCATCACTCACTCATTCCTGGCCCAGAAGTCCTGGGGCCTCTCAATCCCAGCACTCAGAAGAAGCCTGCATGACGGAATGGTTGTGGCATAAGCCAGGGAATGAACAAGCAGCATGAAGGGAAGCAGCCACACAGCTCATGTCAGTGACTGTTTTCCATTCATCAGTAATTCCACAGAAAATTGCCACTTCCATGAAGGCTATGCTTGCACCTGGGGCAGGGCAGGGTCTCCATTAAAGGCAGCTCGATTCCTTCACCCTCTAATCAACATCTCTCACCTCTTTCTTCCTGGTATCCACATGAGTCTGAAGCCCTTCTCCCACGTCCTTTGCTGATCATGCCTGTGTGGGGCTTGGCTGAGATGGATTTTCCACTGGGAGAGACAGCAGCCTTGTTGCATCTGGCCAGGCTTTTCACATCACTCCTGGATAAAATGAAGGCAATTTTTTACCTCTGTCTTCATTTTTATAGGTCCATAAGCATCTTTCTTCAGATGAATTTCTGGGAGTCCAGGGATTGTTTAGCGTGCAAAAGTCGAAGAGGGGACCATATCAGTGCTTATAAATACCAAAAGGGAGGGTGTCAAGAGGATGGAACCAAGATCTTTTCAGTGGTGCCCAGTGTGGGAAAAGGCACCAACTCGTACACAGGAATCTCCATCTGAACATGGAAAAGACCTTCTTTACTTTGAGCGTGAAAAAGCAGAGCACTGGAACCAGGTGCCCAGAGAGATTTTGGAAACTCCTTCTCAGCAGATAATGAGAGCCCAACTGGTTGCTTTCCTGCTCAGCCTGATCTAGGGAACGTGCTTTAGCATGGCAGTTGGACTGGATGATGTCCAGGTGTCCATTCCAACCCCTACAATCCAGTGATTCTGTGACTCTACCAGCCAGCTAAAATGGCTCCTTGGTGTGCTCCTGGGAGTTTCATGGACTGCTCCTCCTATGTCCCTGTGCTCTGCTTTCTCCTCAGTCTCTCCCACGTACAACTTCAGCACTGACCCACGTCCTGCTGTAGCCACTGCCTGCCATGCCCAGTCCCAGCCATTCCTGCCTTCTGGCCTGACCCCCTTGGTCAAAAGCTGCAGTGACACAGTGCTACAACTCCACTGTCATACCTGTACCCCCACCTGTGATAGTGGTCCTCTCTGCCCCCTTCCACAGCTCCTTCCTGCAGAGCACTGCTGTGAGATCCTCCACCTCTGCTGCCTTTGGCAGTATCCTCAGCAGTGATGGAGACAGTCACTGGGTACAGTGAACTCTCCTGCATTGCCAGATGCTCCATGGATGGCTGTGCTAAAGCCACTGACGAGGGACCAGGCCACGTCCCCTCTGAACCCCGAAGGTGTGCTGAATGGAGGACTGAGATCCTGGCCATGGATGTCAGAAAGGCTGAGTGTCCAGTGCTCCTTCTAAAAACAGAGCATCTAGGGCTCACTGGAAACATGAATAAAGCCTAATTTTCCTGTCTTCTACACTCTCTTCCCTTTCTTCTACGGTTGTAAACCTGAAGACCCCAAAAGCCTTCTTGGGATTCTGCTGGCTGCTCTCCCTCTGTGAGGCAGTCAGGTAGCTTCTCGGTGGAATTTCTGCAACAGATGATGGGCACAAGATTCTGTCAGCTCCTGGTAACTGTCTGCACTGATAAGGTAATCTCAAAGTGAGATCATTGGTCTCTTCAAAGTCGTTATGGTTGTCTTCATCCCAACCTTTGCCTGCATATGATACTTTTTTTGTGGTAGTCTCATTTAGCCAAGGAAGAAAGGCAATCTTTGTTGTCAGGGGATAAGGTGAGGACGTGAAGGGGCACTTTCAGTTTCTGGAGAAATGGAGAGATGTGGATTTGATAGATGTTGAACTCAGTGGAAAAGGAATGGCTCGGATGGTTGCAGTTGAGAGGAAGTGTCTGCCCTGGCTTCTCTAGCAATGTCAGAGTCCAGTGGACACTGGAAAGTCCAGTGTCTACCATTACTCTCTTCTACTGACTTTTAACATCAGTTCTGTTAATAATCCATTTTCCTCAAAGATTTCTTTTAGTTAGACCTACAAAGAATCTGGTCTGACCTACTTTTGATTTTTTGCACCCCTCTTTGATGCAGCAACAAAGAAATGGTCCTGTGATACCCAGGTGGATTTATCTTCTGATGAGAAAAATGGAAATGGAACAGTCAAGTCTTCCGGGAGCCATATTTTATTTTTCTCTTCTGAGACAGGTAATGGAACCATCAACAATTCATGATGCTCCAGAATTAACTCTTTAACTCCCAGTGCACAACACGATGATATGATACGGAACACCGAAAGCAGAAATCATAAAACCATGACTGCCCCTCTGCACTGAACCAGGCTGACTTCACTTGCCTCCTCTAGACTTGATCACCACTGCAGCTGAGTCATCAGCCTTACCACTGCAATTCTGCCCTATGAATCTTTGAGCCTTTAATCACAGCACTTCAAGGAATCCTTCTCATCCTAATGAGAAGGGTTAGCTTGCATTGAAGGATAGCTAGTCAGAAAATTATGGCCAGTATCAACTGTGCCTGTGGACCTGCAGCGATGAAGAACCAGTATAAAAGGCAGCCCAGTTCCCAACTCTGAGATCCATTTCTCTTGCCTTCTCCTTGTTGGGAACCAGGTAAGTGTGAAGCCCTCTCTCCTCCTCTTGCCTCAAGAGAAATGTTGTCAGATAGTGGAGCTCCATGCTATGGGAGATGATGGATGAGATAATGTCAGCTCAGAGAGTGCTTGGAACAGCTCTCAGGGCTTTAGATTTATACAGTCTGTGAGTGTCTCCCTGGGTCTCACTGCTCTTAGTTCAGCCCCGGCTTAATCAAGGAGTGAGACCCGCTGTCCCAAGCTGCTTCTCCATCCTTAGCAGTTCCCTTGGCTCCTTTGTGAGAGGCTATCCAGGCTGTCCCTCACATCTTCTCGTTTCCTTCTACATTCTATCCCTCTCTCCCAGGTGCACCTCCAGTCCCAAGTCATGTCCTGCTACTCCCAGTGTGTGCCATGCCAGCCCTGCGGCCCGACCCCTCTGGCCAGCAGCTGCAATGAGCCCTGTGTCAGGCAGTGCCAGAACTCCACCATCGTCATTGAGCCCTCTCCCGTGGTGGTGACCCTGCCCGGACCCATCCTCAGCTCCTTCCCGCAGAACACCGTTGTGGGCTCCTCCACCTCCGCTGCTGTTGGCCGCATCCTCAGCTCTGAGGGCGTGCCCATCACCTCGGGGGGCTTTGACTTGTCCGGCTTGGGCAGCCGCTCCTGTGGCAGAAGGTGCCCGCCCTGCTGAAGCCGCTGGCCGTGGACCTGGAAAAATTCTTCCATGAGCCACAAACACGTTGCTGGATCACCTGACCAAGCTCAGCTCCTCAAGCAAATGCTGACAGCTGGAGGCAATCCTGGGTTTTCCGAAAACAGCTCATGTCTCTTTTTCATTTCCTCTATTTCCATTTTCTTCCCTTCCCTCCCCTCCCTTCCACCTTCTTTTTTTTTTTTTTTTTTTTTTTTTTTTTCCCTTCTCCTGCTATGGGCAATGAGGCTTTTGAGAACCAACACAATCCCTGCTACAAGGAAGACACTGGCCCTGCATACACTCCAACAAGGGACTGGATGAATCCTGTAGTCTGGAGCCTCTGCTCAGTGTGACGTCATTTTCCTCTGTAAACATTCATTAAAGATTTCTGCATCTCATTTCAGCTTTTGATTTTTCTTTCTATCGTGTATAGTCTCCAGAGCAGCCAAGGGAGAATGGTTCTGCTCTTGGTTGGTATAAGATGGGTGTTTAAGGAGACCATTCTCCATTCCCAGAAGAATGGGAGGCTGTGACACACTGCAGAGGCTACTCTCTTGGACGCTGCCCCTTGCAGCTGAACAAGATATCCCTGGCGATGGCAGACCTGTGCCTGAACGCGGTTGTATTTACATCTTCACACTCACAAAGGCACATGCAAAAAATGCATGCACAGAAGTAGAAGCTCATGTACTCTTCAGGTACATGTGAGCACCTGTCATCCACACTCACATCAAGCACAGACACGGCCGAAGAGGCGGGCGCTGAGGTCATGGGGAGCTGACTGAGGAGACTTTTGTGGCAGGGCAAGGCTGCAGTGCTGTGAGCAGATAAAGGCTCCTGATGAGCTGCCAGCACACTTTGCAGATGTGCAGGGCAACCCAGTGAGAGGAGTCCTAGGAGGTCAAGCAATTCCTCCATAGGGCAGCAGGATGAGGAACAGAAAGGAAACCCAGCAGTCCAGCCCACCTCACTGTTGTTCTTGCTTTATGGTTTTTGTTCTTGGCATTCCACATCGTGACTTCATGCAGAGCACTGGGACTCAAAGAGTTACTGCTGCCGTCCTGTGGATTGCTGACAGTGCCTCAATACCTGAGTACCTGAGATGAGAAGAACTACAGCTCCCAGAACACTTCACCATTGTGTTTCTGTTTTCCATTCAGAAGGAAAGATAAAACTGCTTGGGAGTGCTGGGATGTCTTTCCGATCATCTCCGTGGTGTGTGCACCCTAGCCATCTCCCCTTCAGCATTAGAGCAAGATCTTTTTTTTTGTACACTGTCCTTTTTTCATTTATTTGATTTATTCACTTCCATTCCAATGATAATGTACCACATTGTGTTACCTTGCATTCCACTAGGATATTTCCTCAATTTGTTTCCTCACTAGACACATTGCAGAAGTTCTGCTTTCAGGCCCCTCTCCTTCCTGGTTCTCATATGTGGTGTGTTGGGGAAGGAGGAGAGGATAGAAGATGGGACAGAATTGTGAGAATGTCCGTCTGGTGTCAAACAGCCCATGCTGTCAGTCCTGCTGTTCCCCACAAATACATGGCGTGCAGCCCTGCCACAGACCCAGCTGAGTTTGATTCGATTTGGGATCAATGAATCACGGCTGCTATGGGTGCAGCGCTCGTTTCTGTGGAGACCTCAGGGCGGCGCACCCCGGTCAGGATGGAGTTTGGCGGCCATGCAGGCAGCGCCCCCTGCGGGCCCGGACGGCACTGTGCCCCCGCCCCGCCCCAAGCGGTTCGTGCCCGGCCGCAGCCCCGGCTTCGCTTCCGTGCGCCCACGGCGCAGTAATACAGCGCCGCGTCCCCGAGCCGGGGCCGGGCGAGACACAGGGCGCTGGAGCGGCGGTCTGCCGACACCCACAGCTGCCCCTCCGGGTCCGGCACCTCCTTGGAGCCTTTAAAAGCGCTGACGAGGAATGCGGGTCCTCGGCCCGGGAGCTGACGGTACCATTGGATGTTGTCGTCGGTCTGTATGTTGGGGTGTGAGCAGGTGATGTTGATGCCGGTGCCCTCGCTGGTCTCTGCCGCCGGCTCCTGCTGCACCTGGGCTCTGCTCACAGCCACTGCCGAGAAGAGAAGCAGCAGCAAACTCAAAAAATCCATTTTCTCTCCCAGAAATTTCATGAGGGAGGAGAGAGAGGTGCACGAGGTCAGAAAGATGCTAATCGTACAGAGGCGTTCGCGGCCCCTTCCCCCCGTAGCCTCGCAGTGCGGCCCCGCCGGCGGCAGCCCCGCGCACCCAGGAGCACCGCGGCCAGCCCCGCCAGCCCCGCGGCCCCGCACTGCCGCATCCCGCCGCTCCGCCGCCCGCGCCGCGCTGCCCCCGCCAGCCCCGGCTCTGCTCCGCCCGCGCCGCCTCCTCCCCGCCGCCGCCGCCAGCTCCGCCCCGGGCTGCTCCAAACCGCCTCGCTCTGTTTCGGATGTCTCTTAGTTGCATCTGAAGACATTTGCTCCGAAGCACGTTGTGGAGGAAAGACTGAATGGATTCCATCTCGTCTGTCGGTTCCCAAATCCACTTTCTTCCTCCGTCTAAAGATGTGTTTCATCAGTGTTGTTCTTTCCTTGCTATGAGGGCCATTCCTCAATGTCATGACTCCTGAGAAATATCAGAGAGCAGCATCACAATGACATCTATCAATCACATGCCCTTGAAGGCAGCCCATCTCGAGGACACAAGCATGTCCATCTGGATGAAGTGCTCATAAGGTTTTGTTCCTCTTTTGGGAGTACTGGTATGTTTCTATGATGTCCGTGAATAAGGATCAGGGATTTTGTAGGTCCTACTAAAAGAGTTGGAATGAAAATGGAGGAAAAAGAAGCATTAATGATGTCACATTGACATTTACTTAAATGACATTACAGGACATTTACTTTTTACTACTTTGTCCATCTTTAACATCTCTTCCAACACAAACCATACTATGGTTACCTTTTTTGCACGCAGAGTGTGTGCACAGTGCAGATAAACATACTTGCTTTTACAACTACACTGTTGTTATGGAGTTTGATTGCATAAGACAATTAGCTTCTCCAGAAAGGGCCACTCTGGGAAGGTCCACTCTGCAGGGAATTTGGGCAAATGACAGAGAACAAAGAAGCAATCTGCATGGGACTGCAAAGAGGCCACAGTCTCCTTGGTCACTTTTCATTCCTCTCAAGCCACAGCCATCGGTCCCTGCCGGAAGAGGACGCTGGGCTGCAGATGTCTGTGTGCTCAGGGAAGCAGCGCTGCCAGGAGAGCTGAGGGCCCCTTCCCCAGAGCTCCGCCTCCAGCACACACACCTCCTCCCTCCCTGGGGTTGTTGCACGGCCAAGGAAGCTCCCTGCACCAGGGTGTCCTGCACAGCACAGAGGTACAGGGCGCTGTCAGACAGCTCGACTTCTGCCAGCCGCAGCAGGCTGTATTTCCCGGTGGTGTTCAGCCACGTGGTGAAACGGCCGTTCTGCTTGGAGCCTGCTGCTGCCTGATATGTGACCAGCTGGGGAGCTTGGCCTTTCTTCTGCTGGTACCAAAATAAGCCATAAATGTTAGCTGCCTGGTATGTGCAGGTGGTCTGGAAGGTGTTTCTCTCCTGCACTGTGACCTGTCCTTCTTGCTGGCTGACAATGGTCTGCCCCACGGCACCTGGAAGAAGAAAGCAAAGGTGAGCAGCTCTGCAGGGAAGGTTCCAGGCTGCCACCATGGAATGGATACAAAACAGCAGGAGAGAAGGCTCCCTCTCCTTTGTCCAGCAGAAAGCTGTTGAGGTCTGGGCATATGAAGGTGGTTTTGGAAGAGCTCTGAGCTTCTGGTCCAGAGCAAATCCTGTGCTGTATCCCTGAGAGGAACATGGAACAGCTGTCATGGCTGTGGAGGGTGAGGGACCCATGGAGCTCTAGGGAAAAGATGCATCCTGGTTCCCCATCCTTGTCAACTTGGAGTGCTCCTAAGTCCCTGAACTATACACAGAGATGAGATACAGAGTGATGAGAGTGATATTTGGCTGTTCCTTTCTTATGGTGAGGATGAAATGTAGGACTGCGATCTCTGGGAGTGGGAGCAGGTGGGTCTGAAGAAAACAACAGAGAAACAAGGAGAGAGAAGGGCAGAGAAAAACAGGAGGGTCCTCAGGTCTCTCTTCTCCATCTTCCCTGTTGTCATTTCCAACAGCAGTAGTATTTTGAGAGATCTGGAGGAAAACCTCAAAAATCAGTCAGCATTTGCCCAAGGTTTATTGTTACTCAGGAGCTGTTTGCCACAAAGCCCAGCGAGGCTGGTGAGCGCTTTGTGGGGAGAAGATGGGTGCCTTGACTAAAAGCCAGCACTTACCCAGCAGTTGTCCCAGGAAGGCAGTGAGGACGAGAGAGCTGCGGTGCATGCTGAGACCGAGCCTCCTGTTTGTGAGTGAGCAAGAGGCAGAAAACCACCTCCCAGCCCCAAGACGACAGAGCTGCCGGAAATGACTCTGCTGGCTGCACAGGCAGGGCACTCACTGCCATAGCAACACCTACAGGTAACAACACCAGTTCTCTTATAAGCCCGAAGCTCAGAGCCAAGCCCTGTTCCTCCTCTCAGGCTAATCAGGACTGCAGTTCCCCAGTGGAAGCACACACCTTCACCCACTGGCTCACAAGCACTCCCACAATCACAGCCCATCAGTGTGAGCAAGGGCCCTCAGCTCATCCAATACCCCTGCCTGGAGCCTGGCATCCCTTACCCTGCATGTGGTCTCCTCCTTTGCTCAGGATTGGCCAGTCTGCTGTTTGCTGGTCAACAACAAGTGGGTGCAGTCACCTACTTGTAACTCGCTTTAAACTGAGAAGGGACTTGATCCACAGCCTTCATGAGCTAGTAGCTGCCACAGCCAACACACATTTCAGTGGCCTCTGCTGAAGCACCTCACTGCCAGCGGCCCTGAATCTTCTCACACAAATTCATTGTCTCAAAACAGTGCCTTTTTGCGGGCCACTTTGAGGTGTCCGTGACCTCGACATGCCGAGCTCATGAAGGTGTGCAGCTGGAACGCCTTTCTCCGGAAGATGCCGAGCGGTGCGAAGGACGCGTTCCACGTCAGCACTGCCAGCTCGGCGGCGCCGGGAGGGAGGAGCGGCAGCGCCCCCTGCGGGCCCGGACGGCACTGTGCCCCCGCCCCGCCCCAAGCGGTTCGTGCCCGGCCGCAGCCCCGGCTTCGCTTCCCGTGCGCCCACGGCGCAGTAATACAGCGCCGCGTCCCCGAGCCGGGGCCGGGCGAGACACAGGGCGCTGGAGCGGCGGTCTGCCGACACCCACAGCTGCCCCTCCGGGTCCGGCACCTCCTTGGAGCCTGTAACGGCGCTGACGAGGAATGTAGGGGCTCGGCCCGGTAGCTGACGGTACCATTGGATGTTATTGGCCTGTATGCTGGGGTGTGAGCAGGTGATGTTGATGCTGATGCCCTCGCTGGTCTCTGCCGCCAGCTCCTGTTGTACCTGGGCTTTGCTCACAGCCGCTGCCGAGAAGAAAAGAAGAAGCAAACTCAGAAAATCCATTCTCTCCAAAACGCAAAATTCCCAAACCACGATTTTCATGGACGAGTAGAGAGGTGCACGAGGTCGGAGTGAAGCCGGACGGACAGAGGCTACAGCGGCCCGGCTCCCTCGCCAGCCCCGCAGTACGGCCCCGCGCACTCAGGAGCACCGCGGCCAGCCCCGCCAGCCCCGGCTCTGCTCCGCCCGCGCCTCCTCCTCCCCACCGCCGCCGCCAGCTCCGCCCCGGGCTGCTCCAAACCACCTCGCTGTCTTTCGGATGTCCGGCAGTGGCATCTACAGACATCTACTCAAAAACACATCGTTGAAGAATTGAGTGGGGTACAATTTACCAGTAGTTCCCTGATTTCCCTTTCTCAATCTTTCCTATGTACGAGGACCATGCTTCAACTGTCAGAACTCCTGAGCAATGACAGAGAGCTGCATCGCAATGACATTACTCAACCAGAAACCACTGGATGCATCTTTTGTCATCTCATGCACAGAAGTATGCCCAATTTTCATGATGAAAATATAGGAAAAAGAAGCTTTCATTATGTTAGACTTAACTGCTCATTATTTCTGCTGTCCCATGGTCCAATGGACATACAATCTCCTTAGCTGTCTTTTTGCCACCAGATAGGACACTTTTCTCGCTATGCCTTCCCAGCGACTTTTCATCTCAGATGGAGCTGTGGTCTTTCTGACGGCATCTCTGCATCCTCTTCTGAAGCTGCATGTCTGTGACTAAAGCAAGGGCCTCTTTCCTGTTCCAGGTTATCACCACCTTCCAGTCTCAACCATCTTAACTGTCTCTCTCGATGGCCTGTTTGCCATGGTCATGATGTGCCATGCCATCCTTGCTTTGTGATGTTCAGGCTCCAGTCTTAGACTGTAAATCAATCGACCATGAATCACTCTAAGACTCAAATTGGAGTGTCAGGAAGCAGAAATTCTTTATTTTTGGTGCTGGATGCATGGGGGATGAGCTCTACCTATCATGAATATGTCACACAAGAGATATGCAACTTACATTCATTACTAATGTTGCACATGCAAACATGTTCCCAGATGGTGCACAGATTTTCCACATTTCCCCACAAAATCATGAACAAAGGGTTCCACCTTGTCACACGCGTTCAGCCTCTTTGTGATGGTGGTCCCACAGCCTTCTGCATGAAGTCAGTAATCTTCGTCACTGTGTTCACTGCATGAACCCTGTCCTCACCATTGCTCAGTTAGCTCCTTGCCTTGATCACACAACAATTGCATTCACAATATTAGCTGAATTGAAGTGGAACTTCCAATATCTACTTAATTCAAGAACTTAGGTAGATCATTGGCACAAGACCTCAAATTCTTCCTGTTTCCTAAACAGACTCCAGAGTATCCATCGAGGAGCATTGGCAAGCTGGACAATATTGCCACAACTTGTATCACTAAGAAAAATATAGACATATGTGAAGGTGGTCAAACACTGGATCAGGCTTCCTGTGGATGTGGATGATGCCCTGTGCTTGTCAGGGTTGACAGACATTTTGATAATGCTTTCATGAGCATGCTTTTCCTTGTGGTTAGCACTAACGACGTCAGAAAGTTGAACCTGATGATATTTGAAGGTGCCTTGCAGTTCCTTTCCTCTCCATTAGCTCTGTTAGCAGGAAGACACAGATTAACAGAATCTTTTGGTATCCTGAAGTGCCCCTGATGTGACCAGAACACGTGTTGTTGCATGGAACACACATGTCACACAAACAGCTGCTCATGCACATACGTGTGGAATCATGCAAAACCTCTGTACCCAGGCAACTGAAAAAATCCAGCACACAGGCTCTAGTTGTCTTTTCACACCAATGCCTGACAATCACGTTGATATCTTTTGCCTCTTCTGGATTCTTCCAACATGTGAACCGAGTGTTCTGCCCACACTGATGTGCGCTGCCTGGAAACGCTTGGGTTTTTCTTCCTGCCACTCAACAGATGCCTTCCATGAGCAATGGGAGTGACATAAATCAGGATGTGAGAAGTAGCAGCAGAGGAAAAATAACACACAGTCCATAACATTAGCTGGGATGTTTTGCATTCAAAAGTTTCTTGTCATAAAATAATCACTGCTGCAAGGGATGCCTCTGGTAATGGGGCAGCTTGGGTCCACTATAAAAGCCAGCCCAGCTCCTTGCAACTCATCCACTTCTCCTGCCTCCTTCTTTCTGGGAACCAGGTGAGTGTGTGAAGATTCTTCCTTCTGCAAACAGAGTTTTGAGCTCAGTGGAACTCTCAGCTGTTATTAGCTGTGTTCCGTGCCTGACTCTGCTTGTCATGAGAGAGGTGAGGAGAATGTTTGTCATGAGAAGAGGGTAGGACTGTAAGGAGATGGCATGTGGGCTAGGGTCTAGGTAGTAGCTGAATATGTTCCAGTGGCTTTCATTGGGCTCTGTCAGGATGAGACCAAGAATCCCATCGACATCCCTGAACTGTTTTCATTTCCCAGCACTGCATGTACATTGATTTCCTCATAGTGCGATGCTAGGCTGGTCCTCACGCATCCCCATGTTCTGCTTCCAAACAGGTGCACCTCCATCCCTGAGACATGTCCTGCTGTGACCAGTGCCAGCCGTGCCAGCCCTGCGGCCCGACCCCTCTGGCCAGCAGTTGCAATGAGCCCTGTGTCAGGCAGTGCCAGAACTCCACCATCGTCATCCAGCCCTCTCCCGTGGTGGTGACCCTGCCCGGACCCATCCTCAGCTCCTTCCCGCAGAACACCGCCGTGGGCTCCTCCACCTCCGCTGCTGTTGGCCGCATCCTCAGCTCTGAGGGCGTGCCCATCACCTCGGGGGGCTTTGACCTCTCCTGCATTTCCAACCGCAGCTGTGGCAGAAGGTGCCCCCCCTGCTAAAGGTGCTGGACGCTGACCCAGACAAGGACCTCCAGGAATGCTGAACATGGCACTGGACAGAAAAGGAGACGTGTTGCTGTTTTTACTCTGCAGTACAGGCTCATAGTGAACAATGTGGCCACTCTGTTAACATGCAGAGTCTACTGATATACTTTGTTGCTCACTCTTCCTATCTGGTTTTTTTTTTTTTTTTTTTTTGTCTTTTCCATTCAGAAATCTCTGTTAGTACCCCCAAAAATGAATCCTGGCTGGCTGCTCATCTCCCAGAGCAAAAACTCTGGGCTAGGAAGTATAGCTCTGTGGCAATGTAAAGTGGAATGAAGGGGAACAGATTCTTATCTGCTCCTGTTGCTCACAGCACACATGGCCTCTGCTTGGGGTGACATCATTTCTCTCCTCAGACTCATTAAACACTTTATGCATCCCTTAACGTTTCCTTCTCTGTTAGTGTTTGTTTGTTTGTTTGTTTCTTTTCTTTTTCCTTTTTTTTTTTTTTTTTCTTTTTTTCCCCATAAACAGAGAATGCTAAGGAAGAAAGGGATGTCTTTGATGGGAGCAAGCTAGGGAGATTCCATCAGTCCTCTGGATTTTGGAGGTCAGTGTACAGTGCAGACCATCATTTTTTCAAGCACACTCTCTTGAAGGAGAGGAAGACATTGCTAAATGCTCCTCCATCACCAGTGACCATCAGTCCCTGCCTTGCTGTGTTTCTCCTCACACAGGTCTCCCTGAACACTGAGTGCATCAAGTGAATGGAGACCTCCACAAATGACACCCACAAGAGGGGATCTCTGTGCACTGAGGAGGCCCAGTGAAGACAGAAGTCCCACACGCTCTGGGGAAATCTATTCATCCTGCTTTGTGAGGAGCAGAGCTGGGGAATGAGACTCAGAGGAAGGTGTTCTCAAAGGCCATCAAGAACTGGGAAGGCATGGTTTATCTTGGGTTTGGCCCTCTGTCTCTATTCCACTTTCCCACGTGTCTCGCTGCAATTTATAGGAGGGAGAGGAGGTTATTTCAATATCTGTACACCGTGGGATGTGTGATTAAGAAACAACGGTTCAAATGTTGGTCCGACCAGTTTATTACAAATCTTAATTAGGGAAATTCAGAAGGGGAGGATGGACATTATTATGAATTAGGGTAATGGGAAAGGGAAGGAGGGCGATAGAAAAGATTGGAAAGAAGAAGCACGTAGTCTATGTAGGCAGCAAGAGGGAGACAGTCACCACCATGGATCCAGCGAGGTTCGTAGTTCAGTCTTTGATCTTCAGTAGCGGTGGGTCATCAGGCATTGCTGTTCTGTTGACAACGATGACAACCATGGCGATGATGGCCCCCTTTCAATGGTTTCAAAGCGGTTGAGTCAGCTGTCTTTGGAGTGACAGCTCAAATCCAAAGTGGTTGAGTCAGCTCTCCTTGGAGTGGCAGCTTCTGGCTCTGGGATCTCAGCAGAAACTCCTTTGTTCCCACCTTCCTGGCCTTGCCAGCAGGTAAGAGGGAGCAGGGAGGCACCAACTTGTATTTTGCCTTCACAGGATACAATGGCATCATCCCCCAGCCTCCCATAACAAACTGGAGTTACTGGATCAAAGGCTACATTGTCCTGTCTTCCGAAGGCAAACAGCTAAAATTGTCCACACACTGATGTTGATTGCCACACAACAGCACTCATCACTCATCTTCTCGACAAGTCAGTCTTATCACAAGAAATACCTCAGGAAGCAAGCTTGGAGCCAAAAAAACAAAGAAGGATTCTCACACCATGCCTTCCACTCACCCATCACTGAGGGTACAGCTTCCCTGTGTGGTCCTAGCAGCCTTCTGCAGAGCTAATGGCTCTGCCGTAATTTTGCCAAATTGCCTGTGGTCGAGGGCTTCCACAGGTCAGCATTGCTACCAGCTACAGAAGGACACACATTGGAGCCTCCAACCCCTCTGAAGTCAACGCTCTCATGGGTGCAGGAAATCTCGGCATAGTGATTTACGCCCAAACACTCACAGCTTCTTGGTGTCATGTCTTCCCAAGCATGGAACAGCTCTCCTCAGGCTCAGGATCTGGAAGACTCTCAAAGTGCCCCAATCCTACACTTCTCCACTGAAGACAATGTGTGAGCACGGATATTTCCAACTCCACTGGGGCATGGCAGTGAGAGTGTGACGTTTCTGCACTTAGCAAGACCTTTATACTTCCCCAGATCTTCATACTTCATGCAGCTCATGCACCAGCCCAAACAAAGGACTCAAACTGGAGTGCCTTTCCCCAGGCACCAAGATCCTTTCACAGTTCCTGAGCCCTGGGGCTCAAATAGCCCCTGTACTCCATCCCTACACAAACACACCTGCAACTTCACAAATCAGCACAACCCGGGGATCTGTTTTGTGAGGGCTTTTCTTTCACACAGATTCTGTATGATGCCACCACCATGGCAATGGCATGGAGAATCTTTTCTACATGATATCAGGATGGCCCTCCTTTCCTCAGGCCAGCTGTTGTGTCAGGCAGTGCTGGTTCAGGTGGGACCACAGGACAAAGAGCATCAGAACCAAGTCCACCAATGCCCAATGTAACCATGAAGAGTAGCTCTGGCCTCTGCTGTTTGCTGGCCAACAGATGCGTGCAGTCACCCACTCCTCTCACACACATCCCCACACTCGTGCTGATCCCTCAGACATTGCCATGGGATCTCAGCCTGCCAAACCTCCTCTCCCAGGCTTTGTGTTTCCTTACCCACCTCTCTCCCAGACTTGAATACTCTTTCCACCCGGTCACTGGTTTAATCCTGATGTGCTGTGGATGTTGTTTTGGTTGCTGGCACCCAGATCTCTCCTGCACAGCAGTCTCAGCATCTACTGGCCTCAACCTTGAGGTGCTCCCACATGAGAAAGAGAGCACAGTTTCAGTGTTACACAAATAAGTCAGCACTTAATAATATGACAGGATTTGCTGTGTTGGTTAGGCACAGGGCTCTTCCCAGCAGGCGTACAGCATGGAATTTTTCATCCTCCCTCCTCTGCAGTGCATCCCCTTCCTTCTCTCACTGCCAATTTTTCCACACTTTTGACCCTTTCCATAAGCATTCCCTTAAAATTTGGAACAGATACCACAGGCCCTTCCTGAGCATTGCTCATCTTCCTTTTCATCTTGTCACTTGTCACTTACAAAGCTCAAGCTCACTTCAAATTGGACAGCTGTGTTTCCCTAATGGCCCATCAGTTAGGAGCAGAAGACTTCTGATCTCCCTCCTTGCCTTCCTTTTTGCTTACAGATTGGGACATTCCTTGCTTTGTTTATCACTCTCCCTTTTATTTATAATTGCATTTCAACTGAGAAGGGACTTGAAAGCCCGTTAAAGCCCTCACAGCCAACACACCTCACAGAGGCCTCTGCTGAATCTACAGCCACCTCCAGAGGCACTCAGTCCCCTCACACAGTTTCACAGTCTGAAAACAGAGCTCATGTGGGACCACTTAGATGTGTCTGTGACCTCGACATGCCGTGTTCATGAGGGTGTGCAGCTGGAACGCCTTTCTCCGGAGGATGCCGAGCGGTGCGAGGGACGCGTTCCATGTCAGCACTGCCAGCTCGGCGGCGCCGGGAGGGAGGAGCGGCAGCGCCCCCTGCGGGCCCGGACGGCACTGTGCCCCCGCCCCGCCCCAAGCGGTTCGTGCCCGGCCGCAGCCCCGGCTTCGCTTCCCGTGCGCCCACGGCGCAGTAATACAGCGCCGCGTCCCCGAGCCGGGGCCGGGCGAGACGCAGAACGCTGGAGCGGCGGTCTGCCGACACCCACAGCTGCCCCTCCGGGTCCGGCACCTCCTTGGAGCCTTTGACAGCGCTGACGAGGAATGAGGGAGCTCGGCCCGGGAGCTGACGGTACCAGTAGACGTAGCTGGCTTGTATGTTGGGGTGTGAGCAGGTGATGTTGATGCTGATGCCCTCGTTGGTCTCTGCCGCCGGCTCCTGCTGCACCTGGGCTCTGCTCACCGCCACTGCCGAGAAGAAAAGAAGCAGTAAACTGAGAAAATCCATTTTCTCCACCTGAAATTTCATGGAGGAAGAGAGATGTGCACGGGTTTGGAAAGAAGCCGAATGTCCAGAGGCGTTCGCGACCCCGGCCCCCCACAGCCCCGCAGTCCGGCCCCGCCGGCGGCAGCCCCGCGCACCCAGGAGCACCGCGGCCAGCCCCGCCAGCCCCGCGGCCCGGCACTGCCGCATCCCGCCGCTCCGCATCCTGACCGCCTCCTCCCCGCCGCCGCCGCCGCCGCCAGCTCCGCCACGGGGCTGCGCCCTGCGCCGGCGGCACTCGGGCTTGCTAAGGGGTTCGAGCGCTGGGCGCCTGTGCGCGGCTCGCGGGGTTTGGGCTCTGCGCTTTAGCTGTAGAGGTGTGGAACGGCTGCGAAAACTCCTTCAGTACAGGAGAAAGCAGTTTCTCTCCTGTAGCGTCTCCAGCGACATGGGCAGGAGGAAACGTAGGGAGGCGGGACTTGACGTGGAGCGCCACGCTTCTGAGCCCTTTCCATGCGCTGTACCCGGCGCTGCCGCAGATCCGAAATCCGGCATCGGGAAGGCTAGTGTGCTGCTGCCCGGGAGCGCGGCACCCCGAGAGCTCTCCGAGCCCCGGGTCCCGCAGCTGCTGCTGCCCGTGGTGCTGCTGTCGCCGCTCGAGGAGCCCGAGAAAGGCCGGCAGCGGCGCCGGGACGGGCGGCTGCGAAATTGGCGTTTCAGGCTTTGAATGTGTGGGAAAAGCCGAGAGGGAGCCTGGAGCCAGTCTTCAAGGTGATCCAAAGCCATGCCCGCATCTCTGACGCATCCTCACTGTAAGACCTGTTTTGGGGAGGATTCAGCCAATCCATCCCCACCCCCATCAGCTCTCACACGGTCTGTGTGCAGTGAATCTGTGTGCAGTGAATCGACCCCAGCTGTACATGCTAACATCACTCTCGCCCTCGGCATTATGCCTGGGTGGTTATGGGCATAAAACCTGACTCTGCCACACTGGGTTGGTGTTCAAGGACGACCCCTGTTCCATTAGACAGTCATGGACTCCTCAACTTGTAACAGCACACAGCACACGGCAAGGACATCTTCAGTCTGACTCCACCATTTGACTCCAAAACCACTCTTGCTGTTCCCCCCAGTAACTGGTAATTTCTCCATCCAGTGTGCACAGGACAGAGTGAGATGGTGCAAGGTTAAGAGAAGATTCATGAGGGGGACAGGACAGTCCATGGGGATCAATCACATGGCTCAACCAGATCTGAGGGGCCCTGCTGCTTGCCACTCTCCTATGTTCACCCCTTTCCCTTTATATCCTAACATGAGATAGTATAAGTCTGTCTCACACCAATCCCCATCCATGTCCTGATTCACAGCTGCATCTCTTGCAAAAACCAGGCTTGTCCTTCTGAAACCAGCCTGGTGGCTTCTTGATACCTCATCAGCTGGTGTGAATGGTGAGATTTATTTCTTTCCATCATTTCCATGCACTCCTTTGGTGTCTGCCTCTATATGCTTCTGATTTTCTCTCATCCTGTTCCATAAGATCCTGACATTAACTGTCCTCAATTTTTTCTCTGCCTCTGTAGCCATGTACAGGATGCACTGAGGTTGCTCAGGTATGCTTTACCCTGTGCATAACCAGAATGTCTGCTGCTATTCACTGTGTTGTACTCCATGTATTTAACAGTGGCTTCTGCAGACATTTCCTCTGACACACAGTAGGAAGGAATGAAGGGAATAGAGTTGATATGTTGTTCCCTGGATCCTCGTTCTTCTGCTTATGAAGATGGCTGTGATTGCTGTGAATGGAAAACAGCTGACGCGTTGTTTCCTGCATCCTTGGCTAGACAAGCTTGCTCTGTTGAGCCTTGCATTTAGCAAATGAGAAGCCCTCCCCTTATCCCTGAGGAACTGCAGTAATGGAATCAGCTGGAGTGCACCATGCCCAGCTGAGCTCCGTGTGCCGGAGGGTATAATGTTTTAAATAGAGTTCCATTATATGACAGGAAGATGGAGCTGTCTATGGAAAGGTTCTGCACGGTGTGACTTGGCTAAATCCCCTGGTTCTGTTTGATGCTGAAGTAAGATGAGGTTCCCACCACTAGAAGGGAGTTGCTATATATTTGCTGTATGTAAACCTCATCCCATTTTTTTCTTACAAAATCCAACTTAATTTCACACTTTATTGATGTTCCTTTCTTTGCGATCTGGAAAGTATCCTGAACAACTTCTGCTCCCATACTCTCATCCCCGGAGCAAAACAGGAGGAGGCAAAGGAGTCCAGCAGAATTTTCCAGAGAGCAGTGTGAGCTGGGATAAGGTCACACCCAGGAGCTGAGCCACTTCTTGCCAGAAGGGCCCCAAGGAGTCCCTCAGAAGTGACTCAGCATGACATGGTTTGCCTTTGCTGGACTCTTCCAGGGCAGGAGGTGAATCTTTTGTCCAAATGGATTTGTATTGACCAGAAGTGCTTGAGTCTCTGTTCTAGCCACTCATAGGATGTCTTCAGCAAGGACTCAAGATAGCATAAAGCTGGAAATGAAACTGAACAGCACAGGAAATAAATGTGCTGTCTGTATCAGGAATGTTTTGCATTCGATTGGATTTACTCAGAAAATATTATAGTTGTCTTTTCCCCTCAGAGATCTCTATTAGTGCCCTTCAAAACCAGCCTCAAGTGACCTGCTTGCCTCTCTACAATTCTTGGCCTATACATGAAGGTCCTGTGCCAACGTTGCTGTAGGAATGATTCTTGTCTGTTCCTGCTGCTCCCCACACTCAATGTCTACTCTGGGAGTGATTTTATTTCATTCTTCAGACTCATTAAACATTTGCAGCACCCTTTGTTGTGTCCTTTCCTGCTTCTGTGGAAGAAGGGTGGCTTCTACTAAATCCAACAGCAATGGCAAAAGGTAACTGGACATAGCAGTGGTTGTACCTGGGTAAGAGAAACAAGAAGATGTAATGTATGCAAAGAAACAGTTGAATCTGGCAACTGCCAAAGCATTTGGTCTAGGCATGTTTTTGAGGGATAAGTTTTCAAAGCATGGCAAGTGTGTGTTTCTCCCTGTGGGGAGATGTAAACTGATACTGAAATGCCCCTGCATTCCCCAGGCTTTGTGCACCTGCAGTCAGATCTCCTGCACTTCAGCCAAGCCTCAACAGTGCAGAAGGGCTGCTGCTGGGAGGTGTCAGGTGAGGATGCAATTGGGGAATGATGGCAGGGCTGGATTTGGATGCTGTTGCTGGTAGGAATGTCCCAACCATAGCATTCTTCAGCACAATGTCTTGCTTGGCCCAGTTGTTCCCAGGATGAAAGAATCCACAAGTTCCTTGGATTTCCTGCTGTTTTCCACCCAGAAATCTGCAGTCACACATTCAGCCAGGCCACTCCTGCGTCCTTTTTTGTTAAAATAAATGGTGTGTCCACAGATCATCTCATTGTCTGTGAAATGCATGGAATTGGGGAACCACAGCATAGCCTGAGGTAGAACAGACAAACAGACAGAAGTCTGTGCCTCCATCACCTTTCTCCACACAAGCTTAAAAGAATTCTTAACCACAGTTGTCTATTCTTTTATTCTTAACCACAGTCTCAATTCCAACACACTGTTATTTCAAGAAATCTCCTAAAAAACATGGGCTATGATGTGATGAAAGCACAAGTGGAGAATGCTTTCTGGTGAGTGAAAGTAGAGGGGGCAGGGAGAACTCTGAAGATGATGCCAATGTTAGAAGCTATAATGAAAAACAGAGCATTTTGGAAAATGAGGATCAGCGCAATCGAGTTCCTGTCCCAACGCCCAGGCTCTGAACAGACCCAGCAGCACAGGAGAAATGGACAACGATATTCCTAGCATTATGCAATATACTGTATACATAAATTGAAGAGCAAAACTGAGGAGACCAGACATTCAGAGATTCACAGATGACTGGGTGGCCAGCAGGGAAAAGGAGGTGATAGGTGATCGTCCCCTTCTACTCATCTCTTGTGAGGCCTCACCTGCAGTTCTGTGTCCAGGCCTCGAGGCTCCAGTACAGGAAGGACGTGGAGCTCCTAGAGTGGGTCCAGAGGAGGGTCACTAAGATGACCAGGGGGCTGGAGCACCTCTGCTATGAGGAAAGCTTGAGGGAATAGGGCTTGTTTAACTTGGAGAAGAGAAGGCTCCAGGGAGACCTCATTATGGCCTTCCAGTACTTGTAGGGAGCATATAAACAGGAGGGGGATGCTTGTTTATGAGAGAGGTAGGACAAAGGGGAGAGAGGGGAGCTTTAGGTTAGATACTAGGAGGAAGTTTTTCACACAGAGGGTGATGATGCACTGGAACAGGTTGCCAAGGAGGCTGTGGATGCTCCATCCCTGCAGGCATTCAAGGCCAGGCTGGATGTGGCTCTGGGCAGCCTGGGCTGCTGGTTGGCGACCTGCACACAGCAGGGGGGTTGAACTTTGATGATTATTGTGGTCCTTTTCAACCCAGGTCATTCTATGATTCTATGAATCTATGATTCTACGACACTGTCTTTCACCTAGAAACAGTAATACTTCTCCTCATGACACAACAATTCTCCAGTTTGCAGAACAGTGATATACCAGATCTCCATGAAGAAGAACTTACTAAGGAAGATATAGAATGTTATACTCAGGTATAACAATTCATACACTGACAAAGGAGAGGCCATTCCCGTCAAGATTACGAGAGGCATGGGAAAGGTAATGACAAACAGGACCACATGCCACCTGGGATGGTCAATGCAAGCTCAGAAGAATCATTTTCATCACTGACTCTGCCATGCCTCTACATTTTCTGGGTCATTGCAGTTTTGTCAAAGCCATTGCCTCAGACGCAGTGTCATCACATCCCTCCCACTGGTCTCACTATGTATCTATTTTAACCATTCTCTCCCTGTTGCTGCATTTTCTGACAAACAGCCCACAGAAAATAAATAATACAGCAATGCACTCACAAAAGCAGAGCCTCGCATGGAAACACAACTCACACATCTCACTCACACACAGTATCTCACACGCAACTCGGGTACATGTGTGCACTCGTCGCCCGTGCTCATGCACAGCTGGAGAGGCAGGAGCAGAGGCCATATGGAGCTGACTGAGGAGACACTGGGGACCTTTCTGGAAGGGCAAGGCTGCAGTGCTCCGAGCAGGACAAGGCTCCAGATGAGCTGACATCACAGTTTGCAGATGTTCAGGGATGGCCCAGTGAGAGGAGCCCAAGGAGGTCATGCGATTTCACCACAGTACAGTGGGATGAGGAAGAGAATTGAAACCAGACATCCAGGCCACCTCCTTGGAATATGAACACATGAGACCACTGGAATGGGTTGGGACGGAGAAAAAGAGGAAGACATGGCAGACCTGCATGCAGGGAAGCCTCAGGCCAGCATCACTTGCCTGAGAAGGATCCATCTCAGCACTTGAGCTGAGTCCTCTGCCATCACTCACTCATTCCTGGCCCAGAAGTCCTGGGGACTCTCAATGCCAGCACTCAGAAGAAGCCTGCATGACGGAATGGTTGTGGCATAAGCCAGGGAATGAACAAGCAGCATGAAGGGAAGCAGCCACACAGCTCATGTCAGTGACTGTTTTCCATTCATCAGTTATTCCATAGAAAATTGCCACTTCCATGAAGGTTGTGCTTGCACCTGGGGCAGGGCAGGGTCTCCATTAAAGGCAGCTCGATTCCTTCACCCTCTAATCAACATCTCTCACCTCTTTCTTCCTGGTATCCACGTGAGTCTGAAGGCCTTCTCCCACGTCCTTTGCTGATCATGCCTGTGTGGGGCTTGGCTGAGATGGATTTCCCACTGGGAGAGACAGCAGCCTTGTTGCATCTGGCCAGGCTTTTCACATCACTCCTGGATAAAATGAAGGCAATTTTTTACCTCTGTCTTCATTTTTATAGGTCCATAAGCATCTTTCTTCAGATGAATTTCTGGGAGTCCAAGGATTGTTTAGCGTGCAAAAGTTGAAGAGGGGACCATATCAGTGCTTATAAATACCGAAAGGGAGGGTGTCAAGAGGATGGAACCAAGATCTTTTCAGTGGTGCCCAGTGTGGGAAAAGGCACCAACTCGTACACAGGAATCTCCATCTGAACATGGAAAAGACCTTCTTTACTTTGAGTGTGAAAAAGCAGAGCACTGGAACCAGGTGCCCAGAGAGATTTTGGAAACTCCTTCTCAGCAGATAATGAGAGCCCAACTGGTTGCTTTCCTGCTCAGCCTGATCTAGGGAACGTGCTTTAGCATGGCAGTTGGACTGGATGATGTCCAGGTGTCCATTCCAACCCCTACAATCCAGTGATTCTGTGACTCTACCAGCCAGCTAAAATGGCTCCTTGGTGTGCTCCTGGGAGTTTCATGGACTGCTCCTCCTATGTCCCTGTGCTCTGCTTTCTCCTCAGTCTCTCCCACGTACAACTTCAGCACTGACCCACGTCCTGCTGTAGCCACTGCCTGCCATGCCCAGTCCCAGCCATTCCTGCCTTCTGGCCTGACCCCCTTGGTCAAAAGGTGCAGTGACACAGTGCTACAACTCCACTGTCATACCTGTAACCCCACCTGTGATAGTGGTCCTCTCTGCCCCCTTCCACAGCTCCTTCCTGCAGAGCACTGCTGTGAGATCCTCCACCTCTGTTGCCTTTGGCAGTATCCTCAGCAGTGATGGAGACAGTCACTGGGTACAGTGAACTCTCCTGCATTGCCAGATGCTCCATGGATGGCTGTGCTAAAGCCACTGACGAGGGACCAGGCCACGTCCCTTCTGAACCCCGAAGGTGTGCTGAATGGAGGACTGAGATCCTGGCCATGGATGTCAGAAAGGCTGAGTGTTCAGTGCTCCTTCTAAAAACAGCATCTAGGGCTCACTGGAAACATGAATAAAGCCTAATTTTCCTGTCTTCTACACTCTCTTCCCTTTCTTCTACGGTTGTAAACCTGAAGACCCCAAAAGCCTTCTTGGGATTCTGCTGGCTGCTCTCCCTCTGTGAGGCAGTCAGGTAGCTTCTCGGTGGAATTTCTGCAACAGATGATGGGCACAAGATTCTGTCAGCTCCTGGTAACTGTCTGCGCTGATAAGGTAATCTCAAAGTGAGATCATTGGTCTCTTCAAAGTCGTTATGGTTGTCTTCATCCCAACCTTTGCCTGCATATGATACTTTTTTTGTGGTAGTCTCATTTAGCCAAGGAAGAAAGGCAATCTTTGTTGTCAGGGGATAAGGTGAGGACGTGAAGGGGCACTTTCAGTTTCTGGAGAAATGGAGAGATGTGGATTTGATAGATGTTGAACTCAGTGGAAAAGGAATGGCTTGGATGGTTGCAGTTGAGAGGAAGTGTCTGCTCTGGCTTCTCTGGCAATGTCAGAGTCCAGTGGACACTGGAAAGTCCAGTGTCTACCATTACACTCTTCTACTGACTTTTAACATCAGTTCTGTTAATAATCCATTTTCCTCAAAGATTTCTTTTAGTTAGACCTACAAAGAATCTGGTCTGACCTACTTTTGATTTTTTGCACCCCTCTTTGATGCAGCAACAAAGAAATGGTCCTGTGATACCCAGGTAGATTTATCTTCTGATGAGAAAAATGGAAATGGAACAGTCAAGTCTTCCGGGAGCCATATTTTATTTTTCTCTTCTGAGACAGGTAATGGAACCATCAACAATTCATGATGCTCCAGAATTAACTCTTTAACTCCCAGTGCACAACACGATGATATGATACGGAACACCGAAAACAGAAATCATAAAACCATGACTGCCCCTCTGCACTGAACCAGGCTGACTTCACTTGCCTCCTCTAGACTTGATCACCACTGCAGCTGAGTCATCAGCCTTACCACTGCAATTCTGCCCTATGAATCTTTGAGCCTTTAATCACAGCACTTCAAGGAATCCTTCTCATCCTAATGAGAAGGGTTAGCTTGCATTGAAGGATAGCTAGTCAGAAAATTATGGCCAGTATCAACTGTGCCTGTGGACCTGCAGCGATGAAGAACCAGTATAAAAGGCAGCCCAGTTCCCAACTCTGAGATCCATTTCTCTTGCCTTCTCCTTGTTGGGAACCAGGTAAGTGTGAAGCCCTCTCTCCTCCTCTTGCCTCAAGAGAAATGTTGTCAGATAGTGGAGCTCCATGCTATGGGAGATGATGGATGAGATAATGTCAGCTCAGAGAGTGCTTGGAACAGCTCTCAGGGCTTTAGATTTATACAGTCTGTGAGTGTCTCCCTGGGTCTCACTGCTCTTAGTTCAGCCCCGGCTTAATCAAGGAGTGAGACCCGCTGGCCCAAGCTGCTTCTCCATCCTTAGCAGTTCCCTTGGCTCCTTTGAGAGAGGCTATCCAGGCTGCCCCTCACATATTTTCGTTTCCTTCTACATTCTATCCCTCTCTCCCAGGTGCACCTCCAGTCCCAAGTCATGTCCTGCTACACCCAGTGTGTGCCATGCCAGCCCTGCGGCCCGACCCCTCTGGCCAGCAGCTGCAATGAGCCCTGTGTCAGGCAGTGCCAGAACTCCACCATCGCCATTGAGCCCTCTCCCGTGGTGGTGACCCTGCCCGGACCCATCCTCAGCTCCTTCCCGCAGAACACCGTTGTGGGCTCCTCCACCTCCGCTGCTGTTGGCCGCATCCTCAGCTCTGAGGGCGTGCCCATCACCTCGGGGGGCTTTGACTTGTCCGGCTTGGGCAGCCGCTCCTGTGGCAGAAGGTGCCCGCCCTGCTGAAGCCGCTGGCCGTGGACCTGGAAAAATTCTTCCATGAGCCACAAACACGTTGCTGGATCACCTGACCAAGCTCAGCTCCTCAAGCAAATGCTGACAGCTGGAGGCAATCCTGGGTTTTCCGAAAACAGCTCATGTCTCTTTTTCATTTCCTCTATTTCCATTTTCTTCCCTTCCCTCCCCTCCCCTCCCTTCCACCTTCTTTTTTTTTTTTTTTTTCCCCCCTTCTCCTGCTATGGGCAATGAGGCTTTTGAGAACCAACACAATCCCTGCTACAAGGAAGACACTGGCCCTGCATACACTCCAACAAGGGACTGGATGAATCCTGTAGTCTGGAGCCTCTGCTCAGTGTGACGTCATTTTCCTCTGTAAACATTCATTAAAGATTTCTGCATCTCATTTCAGCTTTTGATTTTTCTTTCTATCGTGTATAGTCTCCAGAGCAGCCAAGGGAGAATGGTTCTGCTCTTGGTTGGTATAAGATGGGTGTTTAAGGAGACCATTCTCCATTCCCAGAAGAATGGGAGGCTGTGACACACTGCAGAGGCTACTCTCTTGGACGCTGCCCCTTGCAGCTGAACAAGATATCCCTGGCGATGGCAGACCTGTGCCTGAACGCGGTTGTATTTACATCTTCACACTCACAAAGGCACATGCAAACAATGCATGCACAGAAGTAGAAGCTCATGTACTCTTCAGGTACATGTGAGCACCTGTCATCCACACTCACATCAAGCACAGACACAGCCGAAGAGGCGGGCGCTGAGGTCATGGGGAGCTGACTGAGGAGACTTTTGTGGCAGGGCAAGGCTGCAGTGCTGTGAGCAGATAAAGGCTCCTGATGAGCTGCCAGCACACTTTGCAGATGTGCAGGGCAACCCAGTGAGAGGAGTCCTAGGAGGTCAAGCAATTCCTCCATAGGGCAGCAGGATGAGGAACAGAAATGAAACCCAGCAGTCCAGCCCACCTCACTGTTGTTCTTGCTTTATGGTTTTTGTTCTTGGCATTCCACATCGTGACTTCATGCAGAGCACTGGGACTCAAAGAGTTACTGCTGCCGTCCTGTGGATTGCTGACAGTGCCTCAATACCTGAGTACCTGAGATGAGAAGAACTACAGCTCCCAGAACACTTCACCATTGTGTTTCTGTTTTCCATTCAGAAGGAAAGATAAAACTGCTTGGGAGTGCTGAGATGTCTTTCCGATCATCTCCGTGGTGTGTGCACCCTAGCCATCTCCCCTTCAGCATTAGAGCAAGATCTTTGGTTTTTGTACACTGTCCTTTTTTCATTTATTTGATTTATTCACTTCCATTCCAATGATAATGTACCACATTGTGTTACCTTGCATTCCACTAGGATATTTCCTCAATTTGTTTCCTCACTAGACACATTGCAGAAGTTCTGCTTTCAGGCCCCTCTCCTTCCTGGTTCTCATATGTGGTGTGTTGGGGAAGGAGGAGAAGACAGAAGATGGGACAGAATTGTGAGAATGTCCGTCTGGTGTCAAACAGCCCATGCTGTCAGTCCTGCTGTTCCCCACAAATACATGGCGTGCAGCCCTGCCACAGACCCAGCTGAGTTTGATTCGATTTGGGATCAATGAATCACGGCTGCTATGGGTGCAGCGCTCGTTTCTGTGGAGACCTCAGGGCGGCGCACCCCGGTCAGGATGGAGTTTGGCGGCCATGCAGGCAGCGCCCCCTGCGGGCCCGGACGGCACTGTGCCCCCGCCCCGCCCCAAGCGGTTCGTGCCCGGCCGCAGCCCCGGCTTCGCTTCCCGTGCGCCCACGGCGCAGTAATACAGCGCCGCGTCCCCGAGCCGGGGCCGGGCGAGACGCAGAACGCTGGAGCGGCGGTCTGCCGACACCCACAGCTGCCCCTCCGGGTCCGGCACCTCCTTGGAGCCTTTGACAGCGCTGACGAGGAATGCGGGTCCTCGGCCCGGGAGCTGACGGTACCAGTAGATGTAATCTCCGGTCTGTATGTTGGGGTGTGAGCAGGTGATGTTGATGCTGATGCCCTCGGTGGTCTCTGTCGCTGGCTCCTGCTGCACCTGGGCTCTGCTCACAGCCACTGCCGAGAAAGAAAGAAGCAGCAAACTCAGAAAATACATTCTCTCCCAGAAATTTCATGCAGGAGGAGAGAGGTGCACGAGCTGGGAAAGAAGGCGCACGGACAGACATGAGCCCGGCCCCTTCCCCCCGGAGCCCCGCAGTCCGGCCCCGCCGGCTGCAGCCCCGCGCACCCAGCAGCACCGCGGCCAGCCCCGCCAGCCCCGCGGCCCGGCACTGCCGCATCCCGCCGCTCCGCCGCCCGCGCCGCGCTGCCCCCGCCAGCCTCGGCTCTGCTCCGCCCGCGCCGCCTCCTCCCCGCCGCCGCCGCCAGCTCCGCCCCGGGCTGCTCCAAACCACCTCGCTGTAGTTCAGGCGTCTCTTGATGGCATCTAAAGAAATTTGCTCCAAAATACATCGTTGTGGAAGGTGTTATTGGAGCACAGTTGGTCAGTAGTTCCCTGAGTTCCCTTTCTCAGTCCTGCTAAATGTTTTTGTTGCATGTTGTTCGTTCCTAGCTGTGACCACCATCCCTCAACTGTCACGACCCCTGAGCAATGAGAGAGAGCTTCATCACAACGATGTCACTCGATCAAACACCCTTGGATGCATCTCAAGGGCACAAGTATGTCCAAGTGGATTAAGTTTTCTCGTGGATTTTCTTCCTGTATAGGGAGTGCTTCTTCACTGCCATGAGTTCTGTGAAAGAAGCTCAGGGGCCTTGTAGGTCTGTCTAAAAGAATTATCATGAAAATGGATGAAAAAGAAGCATTCATTGTATTACACATTCACTTCTCGCTAATTCTGCCATCTCGTGGTCCAATTGACATGCAATTTCTTTAGCTTCCTTTTCGCTTCCACAGGAGAGTTAAGGATGCTTTTCTCACTGTTCTTTGCAGCAAGTTTTCATCTCAGGCTGACCTGTGGTGTTCCTAACTGCATCCCTGCATGGGCAGCAATGTCTCAGGGTTGCTCACACTGAGACTGCCCCATTTCAAATTCTGAAATCTCCAGAATTCCTCATGTCCAGCCATACTGCCCATCCTGCATTTATTGGGGTGGCTAAAGTCACTGCTGTCTGGAAGCAGAATTGTGTGCAAGAGTTGCAAGGGATTGTGCACTGATATGCAGACAAACTTTTAGAGTCCTTCTGCAGCACTGGAGTTGCCATTCCTTGCCAAGGAAATCAAACAGCTGAGACTTCAGCAAATTGGAGAATCCATTACCAAAGGGAGGTGTCTCCTTTAAGTCTCACACAACTTTTCTCCTTCCTCCAGTCACAAAGCTTGAGTTCAGACACTTCTGATGAGCCCCCTCAGTAGTTCTAGTTCTTTCTCCCCAGTGTCCAGAGGGCTGTGCCTCTTCTGAAGCTGGATGTCTGGGTCTAAAGCAAGAGTGTTTTTCTTGTTCCAGGATATCACCATCTTCCAGCTTCAACCATCCTGACTGCCTCTCTCAAATGACCTGTTTGCCGTGAACTCCACCACCTACCATGTCTTCCTTGCTTTGTACTGTTGAAGCTCTAGTCTTAGTCTCAGGTCACCGTTGAAGTCCAGCTGAGCACCTGAGAAGCACAGACATCCTGCAGGGATCTGGGTGTGCTGGCTGACAGCAGGCTCACAAGAGCTGGCATTGTATCCTGGAAGCAAAGAGGTTGACGTGAATTTTTAGATGTACTAAACACTCTGTGGCCTTCTGATAAAGAAAGATCATTAGCTCACTATAGTTTGTCTTGGAGTGTCCTCAGCTGGAATGCGTTTTGTAGTTCTGGGCTCCATGACGTAAGAAATTTCTTCATATTTTTAAAGCAGCCAGAGGAGGGCAGCAGAGCTGATAGTGGGGCTGGAAGGCATATCCTATGAGGAGAGCCTGAGGACACATGGGAGAACACAAAGCTAAGAGGCAGCCTCATTGCTCTCTACAGCTTCCTAGGAAGGAAAGCAGAGAGGGTGGTGCCAGACTTTTCTCCCTGTTGTCTGATGACAGGACATGTGGGGGAATGGCACAAAACTGCACCAGGAGGTGTTCAGGCCAGATAGCAGAGATACTGTATACAAGTCAATCCTGAAACACGCTAAGACTCAAATCGGAGTGTTAGAAAGCAGAAATTCTTTATTTTTGGTGCCAGATGCATGGGGGATGAGCTGCACCTGTCATGCATATTTTGCACAAAACACTGTCAGTTTATATTCATTACTTATGTTACATATACAAATGTTACATACTTGTACATAAATGGTCCATAGATTTTCCACACTTCCCCACAGAATCATTAAGGGTTCTGCCTTGTCACACAAGTTCAGTCTTTTTGTGGTGGTGGTCCCACAACCCTCTGGATGAAGTCAGTACTCTTCCTCCCTGTGTTCACTGGTGGAACCCCATATTCACCAATGCTCAGTTAGCTCTTTGCATCGATCACAATATTTGCGTTCACAATATTTGCTGAATCAATGTAGAACTTCCCATATCCACTCAATTCAAGGTGTTAGGTAATCATTGTAATCTACTTGGTACACAGCTCCGACTCTTCTTGTTTTCTAAACAAACGCCGGGTATCCATCAAGGAGCATTAGAAAGCTTAACAACGTTGCTACAACTTGTATCACCAGGAAATTGTGAAGGTGGTCAAACACTGGATCAGGCTTCCTGTAGATGTGGATGATGCCCTGTGCTTGTCAGGGTTGACACACATTTGGATAATGCTTTCATTAATATGTTTGTCCTTGTGGTTAGACCTAATGACATCAGACAGTTGAACCTGATGAGATTTGAAGATGCCTTCCAGTTCCTCTCCTGTCTTCTCCATTAGAGGTATTGGCAGGAAGAAGGACAGGAATAACAGAATCTACTGGTTTCCTGAAGCAGTGATGATGTCCTCTGCCCACTTATGCATCAGTGATATCAAAAGCACTTGAACTTTGTACAGAATGGAGACGCAATCTCTTACAAACTTCCCATGCTGAGCATGCTCCTACCTCTATCGTTTGTTTGCTTCCTACTTTTCCCCTTTTTTCTCCTTAAAGAGGATGCAGTTTCACTCGAACATTGCACACTCTGCAATGCTGTGATATCGACTCCTGAACCCCATGATAATCTACAGCCCATAACGGAGATCAGCTTTGTAAAGAAACTCTGGCCATTACTGTGATTTCCTTCTTGTCCATTCCTGGGGGTGGTTGGTCTCTCCTGTGAGCAGTTTATATTTACTTCTGAGGTCAGTCTCTCTGAGGTCAGTTTCTTAACATGACCCCATTGATGTCGGTCTCATACGTACAGATATATACAACCTGTTACATCATCAGAATCAAAGAATCATGGAATTACTGAGGTCGGAAAAGACCTTCAAGTTCGTCAGGTCCAATAGCAACTTCACCATACCACCCTAACTCTAACTACTCTCTGCTAAACCAAAATTGCATTGATTAGTAAGATTGATAAGTATGTAATTGTCAAATAGTTTTACTGATGAGTTTGTTACATCAATATCAGCATCAATCTATATCAATATCAATTTATATTTGTTGTGTTTTTAAAACTTCAAAGAACATTTTTGCTACTTCTAAGCGCTTCTACAATTAATTCTTGAATGAATACAGCCTTCATTTTTGGTGTATAATGGAATGCTACCAACTGACTGCCGTAACTTCCATTTACGGGTGGGCTGGGAATACCCTGCTATTGCACTGTGCCATGAGTGTCAGTCACTGCACTCATACATTCCCAATACTAGAATGGGGAATTAAGCTCAGGATACAAATTAGTGTGAGGTAGTCCTTGTTGAAGCCTAATTTTTGCGGTATTAGAGGGTGAACATTGTAGGCTAAGAGAAGGAGGACTGAAGATAAAGAAGTTTGCATTTCTGTGCCTGGGTTGGGAAACATCTCTACCAGGTTTGCTCTGAGGTTGTTCAGTCATGCTCAGGCCCCTTCTGGCCATGGCTTCTGTCTCGCTCCAATTTATAGGAGGGAGAGGAGGTTCTTTTATTATCTATATACCCGGCGTAAGATTAAGAAGCAACGGTTCAAATGTTGGTCTGACCAGTTTATTACAAATCTTAATCAGGGAAATGGGGAAGGGGAGGACGGACACTATTATGAATTAGGGTGCTGGGGAAGGGAAGGAGGGCGATAGAAAAGATAGGAAAGAAGAGGCAAGGAGTCTTTATAGGCAGCAAGAGGGAGACAGTCACCACCATGGATCCAGCGTGGTTCATAGTTCAGTCTTTGATCTTCCATAGCGGTGGGTCGTCGGGCGGAGTTGTTCTGTTGACAACGACGAAGCACGATGACGCACGACCATGACAATGATGGCCCTTTTTCAATAGTTTCAAAGTAGTTGAGTCAGCTGTCTTTGGAGTGACAGCTCAAATCCAAAGTGGTCGAGTCAGCTCTCCTTTGAGTGGCAGCTTCTGGCTCTGGGATCTCAGCAGAAACTTCCTTTGTTCTTATCTTCCTGGCCTTGCCAGCAGATAAGAGGAAGCAGGGAGGCACCAACTTGCATCTTGCCTTCACAGGATACAATGGTATCATCCCCCAGTCTTCCATAGCAAACAGGAGTTATTTGGTAACAGGCTAGATCTTCTGCCAGTAAACAGTCTTCCGAAGGCAAACAGTTCCAAAGATGTAAAATTGTCCACACAGCAATGTTGATTGCCACACAACATCCATCACTTGCCTCCTCAACAAAATACCAAAGGAAGCAAACTTTGAGCCAAAAAACAGAGAAGGATTCTCACACCACCCCGTGGCTCAAAGATTGCTTGAAATAAAGCATAAGTGACCCTCCACGGTAGTGAGGAAAAGGGAGAAAATAAAAAGACAGCAAAGAAGCAGGGGGGGAAGGAGGAGGGGGAGAAGGGGAAGATAATTGTTACACAATTACTACAAAAGATTTCTTGGGCTTGGTTACAAATGTTGCCCTGATCTGTTGGACTTGTCCATCATCAGTTGAAGTAGTTACAAAATACATGGAAGATACAACATGTTGTATAAGTTGAATAAAACATGGAATCATACACGTGTCTCGCTCCAATTTATAGGAGGGAGATGAGGTTCTTTAATATCTGTATACCCGGTGTGAGATTAAGAAACAACGGTTCATATGTTGTTCCATCCAATTTATTACTAAGACCTAATCAGGGAGACGGGGAAGGGAAGGAGTGCGATAGAAAAGATGGAAAAGAAGCAGGAGTTGCGTAAAGCGAGGATAGTCACCAGCAGGATCCAGCAGCGGTCCCGTTGCACGGTGTTTGAAGGTCCTGGGCAGAACGCAGCAGAAGACGGGGAGCAGCA